GAGAGAGAGAGAGAGAGAGAGAGAGAGAGAGAGGGAGAATCCCAAGCAGGCACAGGGCAGAAGGAAGGGGAGAGGGAGAGAGGGAGGGAGGGAGGGAGGGAGGGAGGGAGAGAGAGAGGGAGAGAGAGAGGGAGAGAGAGAGAGAGAGAGAGAGAGAGAGAGAATCCCAAGCAGGCACAGGGCAGAGGGAAGGAGGGAGGGAGAGTGAGAGGGAATCCCAAGCAAGCTCCATGCTGTCAGCGCAGACATGGGGCTCAAACTCATAAACTCACAAACTGTGAAATTATGAACTGAGCCAAAATCCAGAGTCCAACACTTAATCAACTAAGCCACCCAGGAACCCAAGTATCCTTAATCTTTTATTCAGCAATGTTAAACACTTTTTGGACCAAAGCAGATATAAACAAAATTTATATTTTATATAAATATGGCTTATAGAAATAATATAATTTATATTAGCCAAAGTTTGGCTTCTTTTTATCTTTCTTTTCTTTTTGAAAAAATGCCAATGAGCCAAATTGAAGTCAAAGGTAAAGGACAAAGAAAAAATAGTAGCTCTCTTGAATTCTACATAAAAGTTGTAAATGAGAGGGATTCTCTGTGACATTAAATCCAAAGAAAACTTTACAGTGACTGATATTTCATATAGTTATGTACCATTTTCCAAGATTTGCTATCTCATTAAAAAAATTAAATCGCTAGGACTGATTCAAAAATTAAAAGCTATTCAAAAGTATGTCACATAATCAACATTCGAAAAGTGAGAAAGGAAACCTTACCGTGAAGAGTATCATAACTGTCACTTTGCATCGCAACCTAAAAAGGAACAATTTTTTTTTTAAGTTAAAAACCATTTTTAGTTAAGGTTAAATAACCATTGTATTAATTATCTATCTATCCAAATAAGTCACCAACCAAACCATAACCTTTCATCTACTCAATTCAATGACCTCTATTAATTCTTTGTCCTAGTTAAATAATACATTCTCATAATAAGAAATCTGGGATACCATAGAAGACTATTAAAAAGAATATCATCATATATGATCCCTATCACTCAGAGGCAATTACTATTAATATTTTAACACATGCCTTTCTATTCTTTTCCCCACACTCGTTACCTTACCTTGAAAGCTTTTACTTTTACTTGCTATGATTAAAAATTATTTGTAAGTATTTGATGGCTATATAACGGAATAGATGTGAAATGGCTTAATTACTGCCCTGTTATTGAACATTTATTTACAAATTTTTGCCAGTAAAAGTAATACTAAAATAAATATCTCAATTTGTTATTTTTTTCTTCTGCATTCTAATTATTTCCTTAGGATATATCCCTAAATCTGAATAGTGGATGAAAAGATATGAAAATATTTGTCTTTATAGAAGAAAATGTGCTTTTTAAAAACGCAGTTTACAATCAATGTATGAAAGCATGATTTCATTTTTTAAATATTTTAACAATTTCATAGCAAAATAATGTGTTTTTTTGTTGTTTGTTTTTTTTTTAATTTTTTTTTTCAACGTTTTTATTTATTTTTGGGACAGAGAGAGACAGAGCATGAACGGGGGAGGGGCAGAGAGAGAGGGAGACGCAGAATGGGAAACAGGCTCCAGGCTCTGAGCCATCTGCCCAGAGCCCGACGCGGGGCTCGAACTCACGGACTGCGAGATCGTGACCTGGCTGAAGTCGGACGCTTAACCGACTGCGCCACCCAGGCGCCCTGCAAAATAATGTTTTAACTGAATAACTCATTAGGGAAATTTTTTCATTATTGACCTTAATATCCTCTAAGAATTACCTGTGCAATCATCTACTAATCTCTGTAATTCTTATTTATACTATATACTAGCTTACTTTCAGAGATCATAACCATGGACTCTGAACTTTAAACTCCACTGAGCAAAAATCAAAAGGTATGAAGATATATGCAACTGTATATATGACTGTGTTTGTGTATATACAGACGTTATAGAAAGCTCTAAATACAGATTTTGTTTTAGAAAAGAATCAAAAACTATACTTTCCAATATGTTAATGTGATTTTCTCTTCAGAAATAAAGCCACGAGAAATTTTCCCTTTATATTTCTCACATTCCCTTGTTTAGATCTTGTGTGCACAAATTATTTTTATAACTAAAAAAATTTTTTTAATTTGAGAGAGAGCATGTGAGCAGGGGAGAGCGGCAGAGGGAGAAAAAAAAGATTTTTTTTTTTTTAGTTTATTTATGTATTTATTTTGAAAGAGAAAGAGAGGGGCAGAGAGAGAGGGAGAGAGGGAGAGGGGGGAGAGAGAGAGAGAGAGAGAGAGAGAGAGAGAGAGAGAGATCCAAGCAGGCTCTGTGCTGTTGGCACAGAGCCCAATGTGGACCTCTATCTCATGACCCTGGGATCAGACCTGAGCCGAAACCAAGAGTTGGACACTCAACTGACTGAGTCACCCAAGCATCCTAAAAAGAAATTTTTTAATCATTACATCAAGGACCGTAGTGTTTCAACAACAACCAAAAGAAATTTCGGAACTATTTACATTTGAATTGTTTAAACATTTCTGCTATTTGTACAATATAAAGCAAAGACAAGAAAAACTTCAAACAAGGTTATAATACTTTCCTAAAAAAAGAAAACACAACCATCACCATCACCATCACCACCACCACAAAATATTCCAATATAGGCTAAAACAAACTAAAGAGCTTATAAAAGGTCATGACATTTATATATCTCACATACTAGACTCCCTCCATACCTCTTTAATTTGCCGGAGCAATGTAACTTTGCTAGCAACCTCTTCTTTCTCTTGGTCTGGTGATAACCGTAAGAATTCTCTAGATCTATGTGGTTTAAGGTTCATCTTTGCATACAGTCTTTCCTGAAGACTATCAAATAATACGTTCAAAGTTCGCGGCAGAATACCAATATTTTCTTCTGTGCCTGTGAAAAGAATTTTTGTTTTATATCCTTTCAGAGTATTAGCAAAGTGGAAATGTTCCTGGATTACCAAGACTCCTTTTATATCACCAACAGGCAAAAATAAACATCTAAGACAAAAGTGAAAGAAGTTGCAGCATTAGTTTTCCATCACTTTGGTCTTCATTGTAGAATGGACATTTTATCAGCTATTATTGAAATTTTACATTCAGATCAGGCCGTAAGATTTGCAATCACCCATAATCACATAATGGAAAAGTAAAATGAAATTTAAGATGCTTCCCTGGTTATCCATGCTTAGTTCACTACGTCACATAAATCCTTTTTCCAAATTTTTATCACCTAATTCTCTATCATATGGGTAAAGTAATTTCCCAAATGAATTAAACCAATCTGAATCAAAAGCCATCGGCGATACACATTCACGATGCTATCAGTATTAAAAATTGAGCAAATGTACTAGGTAATGGAAATATAACTACACAAATATTATGAAAATGAGTGAATATTACTGTTTTTTTCCTTGAAATGTAAAAACAATACAATTTACCTTGAAATGTATATGTTTTTCCTGAATTGGTTAGCCCGTACGTAAAAATCAGCCGACTCTGTCCTTTCAAGAGGTCTTTTACTGGCTGCATAATGCAACCCTGGAAAAACTCCTTCTGTGTAGTTTCTGGGCCAAAAACCTAAACAAGCATTTTTTAAAACAAGTCTTTTTAGAAAATTCAAGTAAATTTTTACAATGAGTTCTACCCTATAACTCATGTTTTTAAAAACTTTTTTTTTAACTTTATTTATTTATTTAAGTAATCTCTACACCCAGCATGGGGCTCAAACTCATGAACCTGAGATCAAGAGGTGCGTGCTCCCCCAACTGAGCCAGCCAGTTGCCCCTCGTGTTTTATAATTTTAAAAGATTTCTTTTACAAGATTCATACTTAAGGGAGGTGCCATATCCCCAACTCCCACAAATATACATGATAGTTTAACTACTGTCAGAAAGTTTTCAAGATAGAAATCTGACCTAGTCAATCAAGTTTTCATCTAAATTTTGGAAAGAACATCTCCTTAAAAAGATTAAAAAATTTATCAATTTAATAATAAATTTAGCAATAAATTTAGCAATTTATTCACTTCCAATTAGATGTTTACAAACCTAAAGTTTGAGTTCCACTCTAAGAAAAAATACCAGTGCCTAACACCTAAGTTCCATAAGTACAAGACATATATAGTTCATTATATACAATAACGTAGCAATTTAGCCTAAGCCAAATCTCTTTTACTTAAAATCTTTAGTTTCTCATAGGACTTACCTTGGAAAAACTGAATTTCTGTGCCATCTGCCCAGAGCTTTTCTCACTTAACCGACCAAGAATGCTTTGAGGATCTTTTAGCAGAATAGTCTGTGAGTCTAGAACATACACACAGCCCTAGAAGACATCAATCAGTCAATCAATCAATAAAAATAAGCCCACAATAAATAAATAAAAACAATGGCATTTTGCCCATGAAAGTAAGACCCAATTAAAGTCAATACAAACCTCAGACTCATGCTCTTTTTCTGACTGTGTAAACGGTCTTATTCGAAGACAAACCTGGAGATAATCTTTGGATTCCAAACTATTTGCCTTAAAAAGAAGAACAAAATAACTGTATTTAAAAAATACAAAATATGGCTTTTCAGAAATTACCTTTTTTTAAAGTGGCTATTACATAACCATTTAAGGTCATACAGAACCTCTAAGCAATCAGTGATTCTTCTGTTTGTAACCATTTATATGTCTAAAGAAAAGCAAATCTGCTTTAAAAAAAATAATACCACAAAAGACTCAATTTCCTCTACCTTCTATATTTATATTTGAAGCTTATAGTACACCTCTTTTCCCTAAAATCCTAACCTTTGCAACTAAAAACAAAAAATAGGGCTCTACGTCACTAAAACATAGAATTCCAAAGTAAATTACAAGCAACCAGAATAGCCCATTAACCCAAATGTTCAATTCTATTTAAAAATTGTTTGCTATACAGCATTCTCTTTACTGCTTCCTTTGGGGGAGAAATTAATTCCTTTTTTAAAATAATTCTAAAGAAGTGTGTTTTTTTAAGTAAAAAGGAAACAATTAGATACAATTTACTAAAAACAAACCCAAAAAACTAGAAAATCTGAACAGACTGATATTAAAGAAATTCAACTAAAAAAAAAAAACTTAACTTATATTCAAACAAACAAAATAATCCCACAAAAAACTCCAGGCCCTGGTAATTCATTACTAAATTCTCTCAAACACTTAAGGATGTAATCATACAAATCATAGATAAGCCCTTTAAGAAAATAAAGAGAGAGAACACTTTTCAACTAATTTTGAGTATGACATAACCTTGACACCATGATCTGACAAAGATATCCTCAGAAGAAATTACAGAACAACCTCTCTAATTTAGATGCAAAAATTCCCTAACAAAGTATTAGCCAATATATAAAATAGAATAATACATCCTGACCAAAAATGTTTTATCTCAGGACTGCAAGGTCAATTTAGCATTCAAAAATCAATTTGGGTAATTAACCACATTAAAAGAATAAAGAAACATTTATCTCTAATAGATGTAAAAAAAGCATTTGATGACAGGATATTGACATATGTATTCAACATCCATTCATAAAAATTCTCAGCAAGTGGAATAGACAGGAACTTCCTTCTGATAAAGAACATTTACAAAAACCTGCAGCTAACATCATACTTAATGATCAAAGACTGAATCCAAGATAAGTAGCAAGTAACAAGACAAGGATTTCAGCTCTCACCACTTCTATTCAACTCTGTACTAGAGGTTCTAGCCAATGGTAATCAGGGGGAAGGAGGGGAGGGGAGAGAGAAAGAGAAAGGAAGAAGGAAGGAAGGGAGGGAGGGAGGAAGGAAGGGAAGGAAGGAAGGAAAGTAGGAAAGAAAGAAAAAGAAAGAAAGAAAGAAAGAAAGAAAGAAAGAAAGAAAGAAAGAAA